TGAAGCCTATTGACTCATGGGACTCATTGGATCAACCTTAGACACAGAAAGAGAAGAAAAATGATTGAGAATCAGATGACCAAGTCTCTAGCCAATCCCCCGCTCTCTCTCCAGGGCAGGAGAGTCATACACACAATAATCAATGCCGGAGAGGAGGAAGAGCTGTGGGGAGGGCATTTCTGTGACTTTCATGATTTATGTACAAGTCTCCTGAACGTGCTGCAGGAAGGAGAAACACCAGTGTCTGTGAGCACCTGAACCCAAGGGAGGGATGTGGCCTGAAGGGCAGACTCCACCCTGCTCCCTCCCGGAGGGAGAAGCATGGCAGCCATCTTGCAGAAGTGCCTCCCATACTTCTATTCCACTGAATTCAAATCTGCTTCTCCCATTCTGGAGGGATTTCTTTTTTTGGTGGACAGGTGTGTGTGTGGGGGGGAGGGGGAGGAGGAATACAAGCAGATGCAGTAATTTCTTGGCCCCACCCCTTGTTCTAATACTGAGAGAAATGGCAACTAGCAAATCCTTACTGACTCTTAGACCCCGACTCCATGTGGCACCCAACGACTAGGGAGATGACAATCCAACTGCTCATGGATCCTGTTACTCATTAGCCAGAGCAAGCAGGGAGCACACGTTGCTCACAGCAGCTTTATTCAGAATGGAGACAGCTTCGGGCCAGGTCCCAAAAAACGGGGGACCTGCACTGAACAATAGTTCTTTTTACATTTTATACTCCTTGGTTCATACGTATTAACATTCACTCCACCTCTGTCCCTTTTTCCCTTCACCCATTTCTCCTCCCATTTCAAGCTCTGCCTCTGTTTACTGTTTACTTCATTAGTATGGAATTGCCTATGCATTTCATTCATTTACATCCCTCTCTGCTAAGAATGCATGTGTAAAGCCATGAACTCGGGTACTCTCGGTCAATCACTGATTCTTTCTGGTTCTTTGCTGACTTCAGCACCATCTCCAAGACCTTGCTTCTGCTTTATCTCCTGACGATAGCTGGTAGGCTGCATCTTGTTCTTCTTACACAATGGGCTCTAACACTATGACTTTGTTTAGAAAATTACTTGCCTAAGCATTTGCAAGGTTCGTCTTACTACATCATTCTGCTTTGTGACCAGCAGCTTTGGCTGAGACACAGGAAAAAGACTTTGTATTCAGCTGCAAATCCAGTGCTCCCCAAAATCCAAATTATTGTCACCCTAACACTGACCTTCCTTCAAGTACTCCAGGATTTTATAGACCTCTGTCCCAGCCCGTCCTTTTTCTAAGCTGAGAGAGATCACCATCACCACGTGGTATCCACAGCAGGCCCCGATAAAGCTACAGGTAACTTCTCCATTGGACCACATGCATTTGAGGTCCACCTACAGGGTATGGTGGAACCACAGAAGACCATATCGGGGTGGGGGGGATTATTCTGCTTAAAAACTCTTGACAGCACACAACTGAGTATCTTGGGTGGGAGTCTACATGGCTAGAAGAGAAGGACACATGGCAGTGCCTGAGAGGACACTCTAGGTGAGGTCTCTATGGTTAGGAGCACACTACAATGCACAGGGGACACCCTAGGTTGTGTCTCTATGGCAAAGGGCATACAGCCATGCATAAGGGACACTCAAGCTGAGGTTTCTATGGTTAGGGGCACTCCAGTGCATGGGAACACTCTAGGCTGTGTGTCTATGGTTAGAGGCATAATACAGTGAATGGGGGGACACTCTAGGTTGTATATGTATGGTAAGGGCACTCCAGTGCCTGGGGCCTCTCGAAGCTGTCTGTCTATGGTTAGGGTCACTCCAGTGCGTGGACACTCTAGACTGTGTCTCTATGGTTAGAGGCATAATTAGGGTGGCCATTGAGGTACCTCAAGAATAGAGGACAATTGCATTTAGTGCAACTGTCCCCACCACCATGAACATCACATGCCTCTCAAGGCTGGGGGGACGCAGCGAGCTGCCGCAGGCAGTGTCAGCTGTTGTGGGGGCATGGCCGTGGTGAGTGGTGATCTCCCACAGGCAGCTGCGGTGGTGTCAGCGGCGGGCTGAATGGGGAGCTCCCGCAGACAGCTGCGGTGGTGTCAGCGGTGGGCTGAGCAAGGAGCTCCCGCAGGTAGCTGCAGCAGTGTCAGGTGCCAAGGGGTGAAAAATAGAGAATATAAAGGCATCCGGTTTCATATCAATAGAGGACAGAGGAATAGACAACCGGACTGTCCTCTATAAAACTGGATGAATGGCCACCCTAGGCATAATACAGGGAATGGGGCACACTCTAGACTGTGTCTCTATGGCTAGGGGGATAATACAGTGAATGGGGGATATTCTAGGCTCTCTCTCTATGGTTAAGGGGGTACAATGGGGGTAGAACCAGTATGGGGTGTTTTATCCCATGACTGTTAAATGCAACTGGCAGCAACAAGGCCTTGAAGTCTATCGACTCCTGGGGAAGTGTCTTAACCACTGCCCTACCCAGCCAGGTTCCTTCTGTAACAACCCCATTTGCCCTTCCTGGAACATGAAGGGAGTCCTCCCTGTACCATACAGTGCCTTGAAAAATTTCCTGTCACCTGCACTCAGGGGAAGTCCCAGCCTGTCACATGGGGGCTGCAGTGACCCAGAAAGCAGAGGGTGCCAGCACTGATGTTGGCAGCTGCCTGGAGAGCTTCCAGCTGCTGCTTCCACAAATGGAGCAAGATCCAGGCAGCAGATGGCACCAGCCCAGCCTAGCCCAGCTCCACTGGAGGCTGTGAGATAAGATCCCCTCTGACCCATGGTTCCAGTGAGGCCCAGTCTGCAGCTGGGACAAATCATCCATAGTCCCACTGGGGTGTCCATGCCTTCTTCTTTTCATCTCCCTACAACTCACCCAACCTGTGGCATCTTCTTCCCTCCTTTGCCCCAATCCAGCCTTGGTGAGTCAGCTCAAACCCAGACCTTGAGTCCACAGACTTCAGTGGCTTTATTGCTAGCTGCCAACTAGCCAAGGGACAGCTCCTCCTTGGTGTTAGCGGTGGGATCTCATGGACGGGTGGCCTACTGGCCTTGTGGTTAATCAGAACCCCCCTGTCAGGACCAAGGGACTCTGGGGTAGCCACAGATGTCCTATCTGGCCTTGGGAGAGGAACACAGGCCACCAGAGACTTGTCTACTGCTGTGAATAACTTAAGTGCCTTTGAAACCAACAAGTTGGTGCCAGGTTAGTTTTGCTGGGAAGGGAATGTTTCCTTGCCACATGGACAATCCCACCTCTCTGGGTCCCTATCTACCCATCTCAAAAGGGAGAACCATTCTTTCTTTTCCCTAGACCAGTTTCTTTCAATCTTTTTAGACTCCAGAAACCCTTCACTGGACCTAACCCCTCACTTGTTAGACTCCAGATCCCTCTCAGAAAATCCCAGCTCTTTGCTTTCACTTGTTTCTTGGCTACTGAAGCATCCCAGAACAATTCTTGTGTTGCAAAGACCTCAGAGACCACAGCAGGGTAGGAGGGGTTGGGCACTGGATTACTACAGGAAAGCTCTGGGTTGATTTAGTGAATAAAAGTCTCAAATCCCCTGGGGACTCTGGTTGAGAATCACTACACTAGGGATTAAGGTCTTGGGGAGAGAATGGGGACCTTCATCAGTGTTGGGGATCTGGGTGACTGCTGGCATGACACAGACCCTGATGGTTATAGAGATTCTTGTTTTCAGAGCAGAACAATCAAACTGAATACCTGAAAAAAAACAGATCTGGGAAATGCTCGTTATCACCACCAGTGCTAATTTGCTTTGTGCCCACAAAGGATGATGTAGGAAAGTTATTGATCTCCTTGGCCAACGTGGCTCTCTGGGAACAAAGGGACCAGGGTGCAATCAAGATGACTTCTCTGAGGTCAGGCATCTGGGGTGGAGGATGGGCTGGAGCAGAGCAAAGCTGTCCTCCTTCCTTCCCGCAACCACGTCACCCACCTCCCCTCTATAAAGAACCCAGGCATCCTGGCACCCGGTGCCTGCCCACACTTGATGCTGCTGTCTTGTTGGAGCTGGAGCCCCGGCATCCAGGTCCCTATTGCAGGAGTTCACCTCATCACCAACCTAGGGGTGAGTTGGCTTCACTTATCCCTGCTATATCATTTCTCAGCAAGAAGGGAAAGAAACTTTTTGGGTGCCCTGCATTTCTCAAATGCCCCTTCCCCTCCCCCTGTGCTCAGAGGCACGTCCCCTTCCCTCCCCTTCCTCTTCTGCTACTGCTTTCCCTGATGTCCCAGGGGCAGGGGAAGCTTCAAAGCCTTTAAAGCACAGAGAAAACATGGGGGAGATTCATACCTGTTTTGGAGACTTTAAAAAAGTCCCCAGTAAGGTCCAATCTGACAAGGGGGTGCAATTGCATCACTGCACCCCCTCTGGATCCTCCCCTGGAGGAGTCCTTCTATAGGGGAGAGGGAACCCAAGACACGCAACACAGAGCTGAGAGAATCATAACCTCTTGTATGCAAGCCATAAGGCACATACCATACTTCTTCACCTACCACGCACACCTTCCCCTCCCTCTAAAATTAGCCAATGAAAACAGGGCAGCCTGTTTTAACTGAGGGAAGTGATTTGGGAGAGATTGGTTAAAAGGGAAAAAAACAAAAAAAAAGTCTTTCTTTTTCTTCCATTCTGTCTTTACAAAATAAAAGGTGTGGGTCTTAGTTGGGGTGGGGAGGTGTAGTCTGGGTCGGACACAGACATGGGCGAACGGGGTGGCTGCCTGGGGCCTGGACAGAAAGGGGGCCTGAAAATGGTAATTTTTTTCCCATTGTCCAATTATTATTATCATTATCTCTGGTGAAGGAGGGCCCGATACTAAAAGTTTGCCCAGGGCTGCCAGGAGTCTAGGTACAGTGCTGGGTGTAGTATAAGGGTAAATATGGTACTTTCTGCTCTCCTCCCAGCCTGCGAGTACCCGTGACAGCGGCAAAGTGTGCTGTGTTTGAGACCTCTTAGTACCGACACAGCCTTGGCTGCCGTGATGAAGGCTCCCTCCATCCTCCTTGTCCTCCTTGTTGCTCTCCTGGCTTCAGGTGAATAAGGGGTAACCCCTTTCCAAAGCCCATTGGAGGAGATGGGTTGGAAGCCATTGGACAGGTTTAAGTGAAAGAGTGGATAGAAGAAAGATTACCCAGTGCTCACTGGAAGACCTGAGTTGGGGGTTACAAACTCCCAACCCCAGATAGAGGGAGGGGCAGAGGGGCTTTGAATGAGGGCTAGCCACTCTTCTAATCCCAGGGCTGGGAGGAACTGGACCCATATAGAGCCTTGTGTCTTCCCCTCTCTAGGATCTGGTCTGGAGTGCGAGGTCTGCTTTGGCTCGGGCACAAGCTGTACGGGCACAGCAGTAACCTGCCCCGATGCGGCTAACCAGTGCAGCAACATCATGACCCAGTTTAACTGGGGTAAGTGAGATGGATATTCAGCTGGCAGGATCTAGTAGAGAGAGCTGATGGGGCAGAGCCAGGACACCTGGGTTCTGCCTCCAGCCATGGGAGGAGAGCAGGACTAGGCATAGGGCACGGAGCTAGGACTCCTGTGTTCAACTTCTAGCTCTGGGAGACTAAGTGGCATATAGAGGACTAGCGTGTGGGGCTGGGAGTCAGGATGCCTGGGTTCTATCCCCAGTTCTGGGAGAAGACTGGGGTTGAGTAGGTTTGATCAGGGAAATCTGAGAGGCAGGACACCTGGGTCCTCTCCTCAGCTCTGGGAGGGGAGTGGGGGTCCCAGCAAGGGAGGCTGAGAGCCAGGACTCAGCTCTGAGAGGGGCGTGGGGTCTCGTGGGTTACAGCAGAGGCAGCTGGGAGCCTGCTAGGCTCTTTCCCCAGCTCTAGGAGGGAAGTGGGTCAAGGGGACAGGGTGGGAGCCAGGACCCTTGGGTTCTACTCCAGGACCTGGCTGGCCCATACAGGGAGGCTAAGGAAGAGCAGAGGGATGGGACAGAGGATGTGGGTGGATCAGCCCGTGTCTTATCCCCTCCAGCTGACATCAAGATGCTCAGCATCAGCCGTGGGTGCATGCCCTCGGGGAAGTGTGGCTATGGCCCTGCCCAGGTCAAGATGGGCGACTCCCTGGAGGTGATGACTAGCATCTCCTGCTGCCCTGAGGATGACTGCATGCCCACAGTGCCGACATGTGAGCTCCCCCAGTCCCCTCCTGTCCTCTGCTCACCCCACTGCCTGTAGCCAGAGCATCCCTCCAGCCCAGCAGCGGGCACTCCACTGACAAGCACTAGGTTTCTGTAAAGAGTCCCCATTGAAAAGCAGTGGATCCCTATGAAGAGTCCTCTCACCTCACAGGGGATGCCCCCTTGAATAACACTGGGTCCTGACTCCCTGGAGTGGGTGGGATCACATGGGCTGGGCTTTGGACTCCAGGTCCCTCTGCCCACCCTGGAGCAGGACTGGGGGTCCCCCCACTACCCTTTGCCAGTAAGCTCAGCACTCCCTGCAGGGGATGTGCCTGGAGCTGACTATGTTTGCTCTGCTCCTTTTAGTCGAACCCACAGACAACACCCCAAATGGCCGATATTGCCCCTCCTGCTTCGCCCTCTACTCTGCCCAGTGTGGTGACGATGAAGTGGACTGCACAGGCAGTGAGGACCAGTGCATGGACATGCTTGGGATCATGAACAGCAGTATGTGTCCTTTCTCCTGCTCTTACCTGGAGCCATTCTAGCATCTCCAGACCTTCCAGGTCCCACATGATGGGACCAAGGTGTTGCACAACCCATGGGCTGGGCTTCAGGGTTGGGGTTCGAATCCATTTCCAGCCATCTTGAGGCCTCTCTTTTCCCTTCATCCCATGCATCCATCTGTAAGATCTTTGAGGCAGGGGCTCTGGATCTCAGGAGGCCTTGTCCATCACGGGGCAGCCTCTGCCTCAGAGAACTGACAAATCAAACTGGACTGAAGAGAAAGGCGGGGGAGGGGGTGGGGAAGTTAAGGCACGAAGGGATGATGGGACTTGCTCCAGATCATCCATGGAGGCTGTGGCAGAGCTGGAAAGGGATCCTAGCTTGCTGGTGGCCCCTTGGTAGTGCTTGAATACGCCTCAAGGCCATGGTTATTGGGGATCCCACAGCTACCACCAACAGTGCATGAAGCCTTGATTAGCTGAGTGGCGAGGTGGAGACAGGCTGCTCCCAAGCCCACTGGAAGGTAGAAGGGGAGCCAGGTAGTTTGGGACTGGGGACAAAGGGAAGAAGGGGAGGTCACTGAGCTCCTGAATAGCTGGGGGAGCAGAGCAGAGGGCAGGGGAAAGTCATCACGGCCTAGACGGTTTGAGGGAGGGAAGTGAAGGGGACACACAGGGGAGAAGGAAAGGCCTTGGGGCTTCTCCTGACCCTGACCCCTGCGCTCCTGCCTGCCCCACAGGTTCTGGCACATCCCTCCTCACCATGAAGGGCTGCGTGACTGAATCTGCCTGCCAGATTCTGGATGCCAGCAGATCCAGCCTGGCAGGGATAGGCATCTACATCAACCAGCTCAAGTGCGTCCCAGCCTCTGGTGCAACCATCGTGGCCCCAGGACCAGCCAGGCTCCTGTTCCCAGCCCTGGCTGGGCTGCTCTTGGCAAAGCTCCTCTCCTGAACCCCACTCAAGCAACAGTGATGTAGTCCCGAGTGTCCCCATCTGAATCTAGGACAACCTGTGCCAACTGCTCTAGGGCTCTGCATGGGGGTGTTTCCCCCTCCATTGATTGCAGCAACTAAAATAAATAAGGACAAATCAGTGTGGGTGTCTTATTGACATGGAGGAAAACTCTACTCCCATGGGGGCAAGTGAAGTCCAGCAGGTGGGTGCCTCTTCAGCTCCATCACCACCAACTCCTGTCCCTTCCCCTCCCAGCAACCCCTGAAGGAAGAGGACTGGAAATCCAGGCCCCAGGGGGGTCAATTTCTGGCCAGAATTGGAAAGATTTATAAGGGAGGAGGAGAGACATTGAGACCCCCATGTTAGACTGAACCCCCTTCTCAGGGTCAAGAGAGAACCCAGGAGTCCTGGCTTTTAACCTCCCTCCCCAAATTCACAAGAACCCATTTCTCTCCCAGAACCAGAACAGAGCTTGGCTAGAAGCCCACCGCACACCCTGGCATCACTTGTGATTTGTCACATTGCACTCTCCAACCAAATGCAAATAGAGTCCACAGGTCCCATCCATCCTCCAGAAGCCCACTAGACATTGTATGATCCTACCAAATCTTGTTGTGATATGATTAATATTGAGCAAATCACTATAAGCCTGGACCTCCTGTGTCCCGCAGAGAACCCAAGAGTCCCGATCCTCCACACGAGCTGCTCAGAAGCTTTCAGAAGTGAGAGAAGTAGGGAGTGAGGGTCTACCTTGAGCTGCCACCAGCCACCCTGGGATGATCCCATTCTCTGCACGTTTCACCCATTTCTGATATTAAAAATTATTGACAGAGGCGAAATGGATGCCTTGAGCACATGACCCCTCCCATGAATATGGCTCTGATAACCCCCCAGTGGTTATCCCAATGAAGGCTCCCTTTTCCTTTCTGCTCTCCAGGGCCTTCCTGGCTGCAGGCAAGCCTGGCAGATTCTCCTATGAGCCTGTTTTTTTTATCTAAACCCCAGGGCAGGGGTTAAAATGATTGTGGAAAATCAGCAGCTGAAGAAGGGAGGTGAGGAGGTCATGGGAGGAAAGGGGGAAGAGTCAACAATGAGCTTGCAGGGAGTCAGCACTTCCTCATGCAAGCTGCAGGAGAGGCCTGGGGAGTAGATATCCAGAGACCCTCTCAGATAGGGGCAGAAACCAGGAGAGGAAACCCCCCTGGAATGAAAACAGCTCATCATTCCCCTGGGGTCGGTAGGGCCAAGTCCCCAGTGAGTATCACTGGATGTTGGAGAAGGGGCTGGGGTCTAATCCTGATGGAGCCTTTTCTCCTCCCCTCTCCAGGGACTGGGCTGAAGTGTGCCAGTCCAGGCAACTCCTGCTCAGGCCCCACAAAGTCCCGCCCCCACACCGATATGATATCTGTGGCTTCAGGCACACCTGAAGCGTTATATGCATATGCAATAGGCCTGGGATCTACTTCCAATGCTGAACACCTGGGTCCGAGGCTTGGCTCTGGGAGAGGTGTGGGGTGGGGATCCACCCAGTGGGTTAGAGCAGGGCCATACTGGGCACCAGGACACCGGGGTTTTAGGCTGCAGGTAGGGAGCTGGGGATTGTAATGAGTTAGGACAGGGCAGTGCCAGGCACCAAGACTCCTGGGATCTCCCCTCAGTGCTGGGAAGAATTGTGGGGGGGAAGAGTAGTTAGGACTCAGGCAGGTTGGAGCAGGGTGTGGGTGGGGAGCTGAGAGCTAGGACTATCCAGCCCTGAAAGGGACACCCCACTGAATGAAGTGGCTGGGGCTCAGGCTGGTCTCCCGCTCTCTCTGCCCCCCAGTGAATTGTCCCTGGGGCAGGATTCAGGGCTTCCCACCACAATCTGTCCTGCTTCACCCCTTCCTCGGTACGTCCAGAGTGACAGCACCCCCTGTAGGGTAGTGGGGAGGGCCTACCCTGTCCTCAGCTTCACCTGTCCCTAAGGCCTCCATGGGAGATCCCCCAGGGGAACTGCATTTGTTCTGTAGTCCCAGTGTCCCCCCATGAACAACACTCCCAGCAGGCTGAGCTGTCCGATCTGCTATGCCGGCAACACATGAAAACGAGATGGTCAGTTGCACCAGCTTGGAAACCGGGTGCCCTAACTTTATGGCAGAACCTGAGTCCAGTAACATCAACCTCCTCCGCTGCTTTTTCCCTGCATGGGTTCGATATTAGTGTGGGGATCAGGTGGACATCCATTCCCAAGCGTACCCACTTCCCAGATGTCAATGAAATCCCACTCTGTCATGAGGCCATCATAATTACAACACACATGGTAATGAGGCAGTGGTGCTCTATGGTAGGTCCCTGCAACCACGCCTTCATTTCCGCTGATGTGTGAGCCAGCCCCATGGCTGTAAGCACATAAAAGAGCCTGCGCTTCATAAAGGAAGAAACACTTGGAAGACAAAGGGCAACACCCAGCCTGAAGCTTGCCAGGAGCTCTCGGTAAGTGACTCCCCTCCAAGATGCACTCTTAGGAACCCAAGTGTCCTGCTCCCCATCCATGCCCTGCTGGGATGCAATCACTAGATGGTGGGGAGGGGTGGGGGGGGGTTCCAAAAGTCACTGGGAAGTGTTTGTTGGTAGGATGTGGTGAAGGGCATCAACAAGACCCCCCACAGGTTGTGCTGCTGATTAGACCTTCCCCCATCTCAGAGCCAGAAGGGAACCCAGGGGTCCAGGCTCTCACCCCCTCCTGTTCTCACCTCCCCCCCCCCCCGGGGTAGAGAGAACCCAGGTGTTTGGACTCCCAGCCCCACTATTCGAACCCACTAGACTCCACTCTTCTCCCACAGCTGGAGGAGAACCTGGGACTCCTGGCTCCCAGCTTTTGCCTGTTTCCACCTCCCTCCCTCAACTGGGACAGAACCCAGGAGTCTCAGCTCCCAGCCCCTCTGTGCCGGGAAATCCCACTCCTTTCCCACAGCTTGGGAAGAGAACCCAGGAGTCCTGGCTCACAGTAATCTAACCCAGAGGATCCTCTTCCCGTCCCAGGGCTCTAACCCACCAGAGCCCACTCCCCTCCATGAACAGAGGTTGAACCCAGGTGTTCCCCACCCTTTGCTCAAGGCCACAGGATGCAACCACCTCCTTGAGATGGATTCAAAGAGACCAGCCTACCAGCCTCGTCCTCCCCCCACTCTAACTTGCTAGTTCTAGCTGCCCCCACCCCGCCCTGTATAGGACCCAGGCACCTGGATGCTCAGCCCATCCTGTTCTATCTAAATCATTACACGTCACCCCTGCTCCCAGACCTTCCTTTATTCCCGTTAGCACTGAGCAAGTCATCACAATGCCAGGCTCCTCCGTGTGTCAGCTGGAGAACCTAGGAGTCCTGATTCTTATTTGGAAGCCTTCAAAGGAAAGAAAAGACAGGGAGTGGAGATCTACCTGGAGGGACCTCAAGCCAGTGAGCTCAGCCATTGGAAGCAATCAACTATGATGGGATGATCCTCTTCTTATTGGGTTTTACCCCATTTCTCCCCATTAAACAAGGTGGATGGAGACGTAATCAATGAAGCCTTTTGTTCCCATTTCCAGGTCCTGCCACACGGATTCCAGAGAGTTTTATCCTTCAGAGACCTCCAGCATCACCCCCACCCATATCACAATGAAGGCGCCCGTCACCCTCCTCCTCTTCCTTGCTGCTCTCCTGGCTGCAGGTCAGTCCAACAGTTTCCCTGCTCAGCCCATTTCTTTTATTTAATGCAGTGATTCTCAGCTGGAGTTCCATGAGATCTCTTTCAGGGTGCCACATAACATGACCACCATGAGGCATGCAAAAAACTACCCATGCTTCCACACAATTCATGCAGAGCTTTCTAATAGGATCCCAAGTGGCCCAAACCCTCCGGCCCCAAGTTCTTTGCAATGGAAGACTCAGTCCTGGATTTTTTCCATTGTCAAAAAACTTTAACCTTCCTTGCAGTGGCAGGATAGTGCCACCCCTCAACCCTGTTACAGCAAGGAGGCTGTGGAATAGATATCCAAGGGAGCTGTGGACTCTCCATCACTGGAAGTCTTCGAAAAGAGGATGGACAGCCACTGGGTGGGGATGATTTAGGCATAGTGATGTCCATGTTCTGCTGTGGGGATTTCCCAGGCTTCTGGGCTTTGCTGGTTATCTCCCGACTTCCTGCCCCATGTGTCAGAGGGTTTTTAAGCCTCCCTCAGAGGTATTGGATGTTGGCTACAGCCCAGGCTGGGGATGGGGAAGGGCTGTGCTAACGCTCCTTCTGAGATCAAAGCTGGAGGGTTCTGCCTAGAGGGTCTCACCCCTCTGCTCAGGGTCAGACCAATGCTGTATTTGGGGTCAGAAAGGAATTTTCCCCCATAGGCTGGGGTAGTTATTGACTTCCTCTGTAGTTTGGCCACAGCTTCTACCTGGGATCTCTTGAGCATATAATGACCTCTTACAGCAAGACATTGGCTACTTCAGTGCCCCTGTTTTCTCTGTGGCAGGTTCAGTTGTGATGCCTAGTGTTGTGTCAGGGTTGCTGGTAGTTTTACAAAGAATTTAAATGATGGATGTATCTGGGATGATTTGGACAGGGCTGACCTTGCCTCAGGCAGGGGTTGGACTAGATGTGACCTCTGGAGGTCCCTTCCACCCTAACTTCTCCATGACTCCATGACTAAGACTACAACCACTGGAGGTCCCTTCCAGCCCCATTTCTCCATGCTCTTCCTGCTTTACGTGGGGTTCAGGGGATCTTGGGGCAATGGGCCTTGTAGTTGTGTGACAGGGTTGTGCAGGAACAGATTAAACCAGGACTTCTGTAGGGCTGATCTTGCCTAGAGCAGGGGCTTGGGATCAGACGTGACTTCTGCCAAGCCCAGTTTATGAAAGCAAGGAGATGTTGTTTTTCAAGTGGGGGACCTCAAGGTTAACAAGCTGGGGGAAGGGGGTGCCTCAAGGTTAATGAGTTTGTGAACCACCTCGCTAACATAAAACCAGAGCAGAAAATCTCTCAGAGGGGTGGGAGGAGCATCAAATTGTAATGGAAACAACAACAAATAGGGATCAAAGCCAAGGAGGAAGCGTTGACAATAGGTTTCCAAAATTAGCACTTCCTCAGTCATGGAAGAAGAGGACATCTGGGAGCTGATAGCCAGAAATGATGCTCCAACCCAGGCGCCAGGGTATGGATCATCAGGAAATCCTAATGCACGCTTTGTGGGTGGAAATGCATCATTGTTCCAATGGGCTCCAAGGGGCGAAGTGCCTGGCAGGTGTCACCAGCTTTAGGTTGCCCAGTGGATTGCAATTCCCAACCTGTGGGTTATTCTCAGCAAAAGAGGAAGTATCAGAAAACATTGTCTTGCCCCTTTATACATCTACAGGGCATCCACATCTTGAATCCTGTGCCCAGGTCTGGTCCTTACACCTTAAAGCAGATCTAGAAGAATTAGAGAACATCCAGAGAAGGGCTATAAGGATGAGTAGCAGTATGGATGGGGTTACATAAGAGGAGAAACTAATGAGGCCAGGCCTGGTCAGATTAGAAAAGAGATGCTTGAGGGAGGACATGATAAGGGTTTACAACATACTAAATGGTGACGAGAAAGGCACTAGGCATTTACTACTGACTGTCTCCCACTAGACAAGAATGAGGGGTCCATGACATGAAAGAAACAGGCCATCAGTTGATAATGAGCACCAGGCAGGTCTTTTTCACCCAGTGTGGAATGAAAAGCGGGGAGCTTGTGGCCACCAGATGCAGTGGAAGCTGAGAGTGTAGCCAGATTTGCAATGGGATTGGATCTGTTCTTGGAGGAAAGGGGCATTGGGAGCTATGGAGCAGGGGAGTGAGGGGCATGGCCTCTGAATCAGAAGTTCCTGGGCCTGAAATACTGGAGGCTGCCAGGGAGAGAGGATCAGGGGAAAACCCAGCTCAGACCCAGCTTACTCTCCCTTCCAGCCTCCACTCTTGGCTGCCATGTGACACAGGAGACTGGGCAAGATGGATCTAAGGTCTGACCCAGGATATGACAGTTCTTATTTTCTTAAAAGCCAATGGTAGCCCCAGGGTGTCTGGGATGCCAGGACAGGAACCCTGGGGAAAGCCAGGCACTGGGCCTGAGGCTTCTCATTTAAACCCCAAATCAGGAAAGGGCTATATCCTTTTCTCTTCCCTTCTCCAGGGTCCAGCCTGGAGTGTGAGCACTGCACCAGTGAAGACAAGACCTGCACAAAGAAGTCCTGTGGTTCTGGAGAAGACAGCTGCTTCATTGCCATGATGGAAGATTCTCTCCATAGTGAGAGTGGCTGAATAAAGAGATGGGTTTGAGAGCCCCGGATGCTTGCCCAGATGCTTGGGTTGTCTCCCAGCTCTGGGAAGGAAGGGGAATCTGCTGGGCTAGAGCAGGGGTGGAGGGAGGACGGGGGGATGACTCATGGGTTCTCTCCCCACCCTATGAGGTGAGTGTGATACGGTGGGCCTAGACCAGGAGGGTTGGGAAAGGTGGAATCTTGCACACCTGGGTGTCACTCCAGGGCCTGTGACACCTCAGGTATGTGTCCCAGGCTCCTGTTTCTGCCTCAGTTTCCCCTTTGGGAGAGGAGGAGAAGGGCAGAGGAAATGCCAGAGGGGTCAGCTCCTGTCTTCTACTTTCCAGTGGGAGAGAGACACACACACATGTTCAAGGGCTGTGTGGCCTCCAGTGTCTGCTCAGACATGAACAAGTTCATGGATTTTGGGCCATTCATGAAAGCTCGGGCAGTTTTCACCTGCTGCAAGGGGGATGCCTGCAAAACCACCTCTTTACAAAGTAAGGAATGGGGTCTCTTCCCTTTGGCCCCTTAACTCCATTCCCCCCCTCCTCCATCCTGGAGAAGAAGCTACTGGGGGTCTCTACGAATGGTCCTCCAATTCTGCGGGAACACCCCACTGAATAGCACTGGGTCCCTGGAAACTGCCCCATTCAGTTTCCCTAGATCCCTGGGGTGGATGGGATTATGCCTGGAGGTTGCCAGGGTCCCAGTCTTTGTACCCGGAACTGAAGACCAGGATGGAAGGTCCCCCAAGCTGACTGCCTTTGCTCTGTTTGTTCCAGTACCCCAGAACATGACCCCAATTTACTGCCCCATCTGTGAGCCAAACCAGGATTCCTATGGCTGCGATAAAGTTGTCTCAGCATGCCCTACAAAGAAACCTGGATGCCTGAATGTCACCTGGACTCCAGACTCTGGTACCTCCACACCCTTCTCCCTCCTCCCCATGTGCGAGATCATCTCTGCCCCCTTCCTCTACATGTGTGACAGACCAGTAAGGGGTGCTGCTGCACCAAGGCACCTGCCTCACTGAGCCCAACCAAAACCAAGCTTTGGATACCACCCCAGGGGCACCAACTTCTGGTCAACCCCCTTCCTGGAGCACACCCACAAACCTGGGGTAACTGCTGCCACCACCCGAGCTCCAGTCTCTGTTCGGGCTCTGTGCCGCTCAGGCTACACAGGCCCAGTAGACTTAAGGGTTGCTTAGCCCCAGCAAGATATATCTGGGTGCTTCCTATAGCCAGAAACTTATAAAGTAGCCTCCCTTAGTCAGTCTAGCAAAGGGAGAAAAGGCCTGCCCAATCCCTCTCAAGCATGTACAACAAGGCTTGCTATAACAGATAGCTTTACTGGGTAGAGAGGGTAGGCATGGGGAGGCGTACAAGTCAGAAAAATATCAAAGAATAACCCTTAGCAAACGGAAGTGACTTGATAGCCTTTTGATACGCTTCTAGAACACCTGATCCTAAGTTACTGGCTAAATTTCAGGAAGGTTACCCACATGTTCATCCAGAGTCTAAAAGAGCTCCAGAGGCCATTTGCTTGCTTTCATGTTACCAAAGATGTCTGCCCCCCTTCCTCATGAGGACTTTCTTATACACCTGTTATGACCTCATCACTAAGTTCCCACCAAAAGTAGCCCCATTGGCTGCTGTCCGGTGCTTCCAAATGACATCAGACTGACCAGGTGAGATGCCTAGTCACGTGACCTGCAAGGGCAGGAACCTGAGACAAAAGGAGGAGCAGGTTCCCCCTCCCTTTGGAATTTTTACAGCCCAGCTAGTCACACAGGCAGGTGACACAGGGGGGTTTGGGGCTGGCTGCTTACCGCAGCGAGGCAGACTGGGGCGTGATTTCTCCACAACATGCACTGGACGTCCAGATGCCCATCAAGTCTGGGCTGCAGGTTGGGACCCTGCCAGGGCTGTACTCCCAGTCCTGGTCCTGCTCATAGCCTCCCTCTCCCCTCCTACATCTCAGCCATCAGCCTTTTACTAGAAGGGAAAGTGAGGCACAGAGGGATGAAGGGACTTGTCCCCAGTCACCTTGGGAGGCACCAGCAAAGCTGGGAAAGGAAGCAGGCCATTGCTGCCTCCTTTTGGTGCCTTGAGGTGCTACAAGGATGAAGATCCTGGAGATCCCACTCTCGCACCAAGTGTGAGTGACTCCTTCATTGCCTGAACGCTGAGGTGGTGTCAGGCCTGTTCCATATCATTGAGAGCTGGGGGGAAGGGGGTGGGGAGAAGCCAGCTGGCTCTGGACTGGAGCCCAATGGGTATTACCAAGGGAGATAGTCAGACCTTGTTGGGGGAGAGAACAGCTATCAGGGTCCCCCACAGGCCGGGGCAGCAGAATAGAGAGGGCAGGGGAAGGATTTTTAGTCTGGGATTTCCAAGGGAGGAAAGTGACCCTGACCCCTCTCTTCTTTCCTATCCTAAGGTACCAAGAAGGGACAAAGCTCCCCTGGGGTCTGTACTACTCCGTCTGCCTGTGCCAAGGAGATTGTGGAAAAACTTGGGTACAAAGTCATCAACGAAAAGTGTTCAGGATTCTCCAATGCAGCAGGCCCAGCTCTGAGATCCTTCTGGCTCCTGCTCCTGGCTCTCACTGGGCTGCTTCTGGAGATGCTTCTTTCCTGAGCCCCACCACAGCTGACAACCAAACCCCTCCAAGCCCTCCTCTGTAGCCAGCCCTCACCTCCACATAGATTTTCTTCTCCCTTCAACTGGTTCCAGAAAATAAAACCAGTGTGGAGACAGAATGGATGCATCTGACTCTGCTCTGGGTGTCAGGGATACTGTATTTCCATGGGGA